TGTACCTAGTCAGAGACTTGCTATAACTAGACTGCGCTTAACGTATCTAAGGTGTTGTCGACACCGTATGCAACACACAATGCACCGCGGGGCAAAAATCGCTGAGATGATATGCAATATAATGAAATAAGCTGTTATTTTAGATGTTCCGTTCATTAATCATTCTCGTGATTAGCTCGAATTAGTGAACAGATAAATTTCTGTTGAGAATAAACCAATAAACTTAGGTTAGCCTATCAACATGTACTCTGTCGATAAATTTTTAAATAATATGCTGATTTTCAACGGATAAAAGTTTAAAGGGCCAATGGATCAGAGCCATTCGAAGAGAAAAATGTACTCCCACCATAGTGCATTTGCGGGGAATGAAGCCGATTTTAGAAAGGTACCTACGAAGGTGTTAAGCAAACAATAATGCAATACCGAGCGTTTTCGACTTTCCCATTCACTTAAAATAACGTAGAACTATTATTCGACATCCTTTACCAGCAAGACAACGGCAATATCTATTTGCCTATTAGGTATAGACGTAACTAAGTACTTACTGGTACTAAGTATATTTCAGGTTTTGTTACAAGAAAAATAGCTAAGTCTGTTAAATGTTCCATATGTACGGATGCGATATTCGCATCAGAGAGTCATTCAAAGCTTTTAACTAGAAAAAATCGTGGAGGATTGTTGCACGTATCAAGCGATGCATTAAAAATTTGCCAAATTGCTGAAAATGTGTTTAGGTTTTTCATTCAATCCACACCACACCGCGTTGTAAACAAAATGGTTATCAGCAGTCTAAGAAAAATAAATAACAGTTAACAGCCCATTTGGGTTTTTGGATAGGCATATATTGAATCAAAATCCGCTAAATAATCATATCTTACTACTTACATCTTTAGTTTTAAGAGTATATTTTACCATACGTGTTCACCACCAAAATACACATATAAATCAAATTAGGACTAGAGTAAGGCAGTTATACCTATACCAATTTAGTTCAAATAAAATACCAATAAATTCGATTAACACAGTTAACAGCTATATGTTATCTTTTTTTGCTACTAAAATTTAGAATAAACATGGCTAAAGCAAGCTGCAGAACGTACGTCTGCCCCGCGCTGAACAGTTGGTTGCCTATCCTATCTTGACAACAGGCGTTTATAGTAAACTCTACGTTACGCGCGGTCTAGTTATAACAAGTCTGTACCTAGTGCATATAAATCGGTTGGCTCCATACGTGGGACAGAATGAATGTGAGGAACATCTAGAAGAGGAAAATGTGATGCAAGTGAGACCACCACAGTTCACTTTCGCGGAATGTATGGCACATAATGTGGAACCTTGGAACGCAAAGAGCACGCTTTGGTGTTGGACTACGATGAAATCCAAAACGCTTAGCTGATGATGGTGAGCGTGGTCAATACGCATAGATATCTGAAATCGAGCATAAAATGCATGGTAATTTAGGCTCAAAACCAAATGAAAGGAAAATACTCTCAAACATAGTAATAGGTATAATCGTAGGTATGTATCCCCTGTTATACACTTAGGTAGGTACTTTAACAATTCATAGGTACCAATTTACGGTTATGGCTCGAGTATTGTTAAGAAAAAGATTAGTGAGCGAATACAAATAGCGTAAAAGATGTGGTTTTTGTATCTAAAAATTAACATAATTTATTGTTTAATAAAAATTATTAATTAATTATAAAATGGATTTCTATTAATATATCATTCCTACGAGCGGTGTATTAACAGCCCGGCTAGCTCAGTCGGTAGAGCATGAGACTCTTAATCTCAGGGTCGTGGGTTCGAGCCCCACGTTGGGCGAATTTTTTTAAATTATACAATGCGCACAATAACAATCGTGCCAAAAAGTTACAAGTTTCTGCATGGATTTGGTTCTTTACATTTTTTGCGCAGTGTTTCTAGCAAATGAAGCTTACAGTTTTACTGACTGTCGAATGGGCATTAAACTCGTTTCCTCGAGTTATTTTTGAACTACATGTGTTCGTTAATGGTAATGTTAATGGTAATGTTAATGGTCATTAGTTTTTTTAGGAAAACGTCCACACGTATTATTTCAATGCTCAAAAAATGAATTTCACGCAATTTTGGCGGCCACCTGCATTGTGACCAAATGATCTAGAAAGCATACTAATCTGTATTCTGCCACCTCAGAAATGCGGCAAGTCCGTATAGTGACGGCATATCATCACAGACTTTCAAAATTTTTTATTTCACAGTAAACACAGATGGAAAAAAACACAAAATGAGGCCTTCCCAAAAGATCTGGTATAAACATCAATCTCTAGATCAATCTACATCTACGTTGATAAGGGTGAACAGATATAAAACAAATGTAAAACAGATATAAGATCTGTGGTTTTGATTTGCTCGTAAAGTTTACCTATTTTCATTAATATTATTTCTGTAATTCAATAAAACCGTTTTTTGTCTCTTACTTTACTGCGCCATATCATTGAATAAAAAATAAGTTTATTCAATGGCTATATGACATCCTACATCATTCATTATGGTTAGGCTTCGGTACTGCCATTTATTAATCCAACATACCATTCACGTTGATGTCAATTGAAAATATTTTGATTAATTACACGATCTTAGAATACCAAAATGGAATAAAAATGTTAAAATACTTAATTTCTTATTTTAATTGTCGCATGTCATGATTTCATTTATCACTTGACATAAACACCATCACAAAATCTAAATTTTTGGTGCATAAATAATTTATTATCTACCGAATAAGCTATTTGAATTAACTTTTAACAGCTTCATTAGATATAAAACGAGTATAATCACATTTTTATCCTTACCTTTATTCGGGATCTTAAATGAAAGCCCTCAAACTACACTGTGCAAACCATGTCAAACAATTTGTCATTGGTCCATCACTTAGCGTTTGCGCAAACTTTAAACTAAATAGTCTCCATAACAAAATTTAGTGCCATTTCCCAATTTTTGGGCGTTTACATAGTCAGTACAGTACTCACCTTGTAGGAACAGTTAAATTAGCTTCTTTATCTAGTCTATACGCCGTTTGCATCCTATGGGAACCTCGCACTCTCGTTACACCAGGATATTGCGTTTCAGGAATGTCTAATCGAAATCGACTAATAAAATCGTAACCTTGCAAATCGTCGTCTCCGGCTTTAAAGTCTGCACATGGTTGTCCTTGTTCTTCTTCTGATGATAATTCTAAAAAAAATTAATTTTTGTTAGCGCACCAAAACAAAATAAAGTATCCTTTCCTTACCACTACTGTACATAGGTAAATGAGCAATCTATTGAAAAGTTTGCCAATACCTAAGCACCGTAAACTAACTACGGTATCCTGAATCAGTAGAAAATGCGGTTTTCGGTGGAATTAAAAAGGAAGAGGTTACTTAAAAAATTCGATACGCTTGCAAATAACGTATCGCACTTCATGTGGCTTTACATTAAGAAGGTCCTAGAGGAAGACTTGAAATTTAATCACCGCATTTTTTTTTAATTTGCGAGGAACAGTTCGGTTGAAAAAAATCCAGGGTTAACACGACTGAATAGTGTTAAAGGCATAGGCACAACTAGACTTCAACTTGGGGGGGGGGGGGGGGGGGGGGGGTGTTACATCGCGGTGTATATTATGAAGCCCATTCCAAAACAGCATCCAATTTTTATACCTCTTTTCCCATTTCACTAACCTGAACATTTTCTGAATTCTGAGCATCACACTCATATTATTAACATTACCAAACGTAATTTTATCAAATTATTTCTATATATAAAAGAGAAATATTCGAGAAACGGTCTTGAGCCATTGTTGTTCTTAACCAGCTCATAACTTTTCGCATAGCCGAAAATTACCTTTCACATGTTACTGAAGAAACTGGCAATATGATTGCAGCTTGAAACAATTTATATACATTGGGATACGTTTGTCGGCATGAAATTGCCTTCAGATTCGAATAGTTGACCTCTTGCTTTTTGTTCTTCATGATGTTCGTAGCAATCAACATTTAAGTACGCAAACAGTAAGTTGGTATCAATTTTCAGTTCTACTTCTTGAGAGTAGTGATCAATGAAATATTTGCATCCATTATAGTCCAAATTGAAGAAACTATCCACAGCCTTTGCCATTTGAAGACTTTCTTCGGAAAAACGTTTCTTCATGTAGCCAACTGTTTCATCTAGCTAGAACTCTGTTATATACATTGCTGCGCTAGTGATCACAGCTTGGGTAGCAAGCGAGTTCAAAAATAAAATACAGGTTTTCAGGGCAAATAAGTACAGCTGCATACACGAATTATGATTAGTCGCATGGCGCGGGGGGGGGGTAATTTCGGTTTTTGGGGGCCTTACGTTCCTAGCCGCCGCCCCCCCCCCCCACCCTAGTTGCGCCTCTGGTTCAGGATCAGCCGAATCGAATATCCGGCCCTGACGTGCAAATTTTAGTACTTCCTATATAGGAGTATAATATAGGACAGGTTATGGAAAAGTTCAAACTGAAACTTCCTTTTTTTTAGAATTGAAGAAGGGCACGATGTTAGGTAAATACTATTTGTCAACATTTGGACTGTGGCAGTGTGTCAATTGCAAAAAATTGAGAGCAATTTACGTACGCGTAAAGCACTGTGTAATCAAGAAATCGAACAAAATAATAATAATACAACAAAAATTAAGACCAGTTCTAAATATAGATTAGATTATTAATTATACAATTAACAGTCTATTAATACTTGGATATGCAATGAGTGTATTCGTTATTTATACATACGATAAGTGGCTGCATTTATAACGACAGATGTTTAGATCGTATATTATTCAATTATCACGTTCGTATTACACACATCGTGAGCCGCACTGATTTTCTGTTGATTTATTACCCTCATTAACTCATAAATTACTGTAGGGCATAATTTATATTTTCTTTCGTGTTTTATATTCACAAAAATTAAAGAATACTTACGTCCTACAACTGATCGTAAAATTTGAAGCCATAGTAAAATCTTCATAAGCTGTCTCCAACTAAAACAAAAAAAATCATTAAATCTTGTAAAATTTCCACACAAATGAAATATAAAATAGAAAAATCTTTGAACTGTGAGAAGCCAAGTTGACCATTGCATCCATCCCCGAAACCATGTGCACTATTTATTTATTATTTATAATGGGGTTCCAAATTCTTTTAAGTTATTAAGTCCAAACGGTTCAGAAAACACATGAAAGCATTTATTTGTGAATATTTTGTAAATCGCCCAGGCTATAAACACCACACACCATCGTGAACCCTTAATGATTGAGCGAAAGCATGTTGAGGACCCAGAACAACAGAGACAATAAACAAATAAATAAATAAATAAATAAATAAATAAATAAGTAAATAAATAAATAAATAAATAAATAAATAAATAAATAAATAAATAAATAAATAAATAAATAAATAAATAAATAAATAAATAAATAAATAAATAAATAATTAAATGCTTCACTAATGAAATAATTTGCATTAGATAAGCAGCATTGACCCAAATATTTTGGACGGTGATCCTATCCACTTCCGACGCTTCACTTCTAAGATAGATATTCTCCTCCAGATCTACCACCTCTATTTGTGCGGACTTCACTGTGAAAATTCCTTGTAGACAAATAAGAAAACATTATTTTCAGACGCCATACAGATAGATTAATAGACCTATACACCGACAACCGACAAATATAATTACATTTAATGGCTGTGGGGGAATAAGCCAACATTTCGAGTGTCTTCATTTAATTTTAGTATGTAAAAGCTAATGTGTAAAATTTCCAGCATTCGTATTTTTTTGGCTGCACTTTATTGGTCGACTAATCTATAAGGCGCAAGCCTGCTGCCATGCTAAACAAGACGAAAGTACTCGGCAGATTTTACCACTATAAGATCTGACATCTGCCATTGTCAACAATAACGCATTTCTTATATTTGGAAATACACTAATAAGAAACGTGCATTTTCGTACATTAGCTTCATAACGAATTATATTTCAAGACGTGTATCTGGCATTGGGCGCACAAAACAGGGACAAGTCCGACGGTGAAACCTAATTCTCGCACGTAATCTCTTTTCACTTATGCCCAAGACCTGTAGGGTGAAGATCACCTAAGGACGCACAGTTTGAGAGTTGAGATCATTCAAGCTTGCATCATTGTGTACTTATAATAAAGACCTTGCACGCAGAATGTGCACATCTAATGAGTAGAGTGTGCACAATGTGAAACTTGAAATTCTCCATCGCTTTCATACAGAATTTGGTACATTTTTGAGACTTCTGGTACACAAAACAGGTACAATTTCGATCGTGAGACCCAATTCTAAAATGTACCTCAATTCAATTACGCCCTGGTGCGTGGCGAGGAACATAACCAGGGTGCACAGTTCGAAAGTTGAGATACTCATTAACATTTCAGGATTGCACGTGGCTTAAAGCCCTAGAAAACTGGCATAATTCAAACCCAATTCTAAACGGTACCTACTTGCTTCACTTTAGCCAAAGACTTCGTGCAGGGCAAAAGTTTCGACTGATCACTCATATCGTACCTTTTTAAAACACAAAATCAAAGGACTACGTATCCTACAGTAAAATGTTTTCGATATTTTCTTAAAAAAGTGATTTTCCTTACGAAATATTAATAAAAATTATATGTTAAAACGACTTGTCACCGAATGCGAGAAGTTACATTGAATAATCAAGGACGTTCCATTTTTCCTTGCTATTTCTAATTTAAAGTGCTCCAATTGATCCATTCAAGTACATACGTATGTATATTTCGCCTATAATATTCGCTGCCGTAAACATCTTAGAAACTTATATGTCGAAAAAAGAAGAAATTTCACATGCTGTTTTCGGTCACTTACTGATAAGACTGGCGCATCTCAATTTACCTGCTTTCAGTGTAATTTAGGATTCGGGTAGAGTAACGTCTTATAGTTTCTTATAGTCTGTGTTTTTAGCGCATTTCCACAAAAATAAAAAAAATGCGCTATTGTGGCCACTTTGTCCGTCCGTCCGTCCGTCCGTCCGTCCGTCCGTCCGTCCGTCCGCTAACTTTGCGACGCTACTAGTTTTTTTATCTTAAGAGCTATTGTTCTACTTTTTTCGCTATTTGGTTCGTTATGGTGTCGAGTCTTGTACCAAGGAAGGAATTTTTTCTGTACCGCTTACAAAAAAATTATTGTAAAAAAAACAAAAAACCGTTTTTTTACATGTTCCATAATTTTACACTTATGCCGTTTATTAACGATCCTAGAGATCGTTTATAATTTTGCATTGCTATCTGTCGCCTGCCGGTTGGTCTCTCCGTCTGTTCCTTTGTCTGTCTGTCCATCTATCTGTCCGTGTGAACGATAACTTAGTTTAGAAATGTTCGATCGCTTTTACATCTCCGTTAGTTATGAACTGAATTGCATGAAATTCAATATGGGCATAGCTTTAGCCATATAATACGCAATGCCAAAAGTTGAATCGAATCGACTCAAAATTCACAGTGCCCTTTTCGCATCTCGACCATTTATAAACCGAATTGCAAACTTTTTTACTTATAAAAGTATTTGAATGAAATTTGATCCATAGGCACTTGGAATAAAGGAAAATCAAACGCCAATTTCAAAATTTGGTTTTGCGCATGCGCAGTGCCAACTTTTTTTATTTATGGAAGAATTTAAACGAAATTTGATACATAAGCACTTCGAATAAAGGAAAATCAAACGCCAATTTCAAAATTTTGTTTTGCGCATGCGCAGTGCCAACTTTTTTATTTATGGAAGAATTTAAACGAAATTTGATACATAAGCACTTCGAATAAAGGGAAATCAAACGCCAATTTCAAAATTTGGTTTTGCGCATGCGCAGTGCCAACTTTTTTATTTATGGAAGAATTTAAACGAAATTTGATACAGAAGCACTTCGAATAAAGGAAAATCAAACGCCAATTTCAAAATTTGGTTTTGCGCATGCGCAGTGCCAACTTTTTTATTTATGGAAGAATTTAAATGAAATGTGATACCTAGGCACTTGGAATAAAGGAAAATCTAGCGCCAGTTTCAAAATTTTATTTTGCGCATGCGCCGTGCCAACTTTTTTATCTATGGAACTATTTAAGTGAAATTTGCTACTTAGGCGCTTGGAACAAAGGAAAATCTAACATTAGTTTTAAAATTTAGGTTTGCGCATGCGCAGTTCCAACTTTCTCATTTAGAAAAGCATTGAATGAAATTCTTCTCATAAACTGAAATTGAAGTAGCACGTCAACAATGGATTGCCCATGTGCAACGCTATCTTTCATATTTGTGGCGGGATTTTTACGATTTTAACAGAAGTTGCATCTTACAAATGGGAAATGAATGCAAGTGGAAATGCGCTTTATGTAAATCGTTTACGATTACTTTTTAACTTGTTTGTTTCGGTATGATCGTGCGTGAGTGTTCAAAATCTGAATTACGCGAGGAATTACGTCATTCTTGTAGAAAACGTATGTATTATCTTTTACATTGTTTAGAATCACTTGCTTTTTAGCGCATTTTTGCAAATTTATTTGTAAAAGATAGCTTTTAATCTCACTTTGGCCGGCTGGCTGGCTTATTTTATTTTATCAAAAATAAAAATTACTAAGTTCAGTTTTTGAAAAAATACTAAATATGACTTTATATTATCAACATATGGTATATAATCACAATTCACATTTGAAGTCAAGTCGTTGATGTAAATTAAAAATAACAGCGGACCAAGGGTTGTTCCTTGGGGAAACTCCGTGAGTCACTGGCAATTTCGTTGGTAACATATGTTATGTAACTAACAAATTGACTTCTGTTACTAATGCTAAAGTTATATATTCCCAGTTTACTAAGTAGAATATCGTGAGATAACAAATATATATAAGCCTCTCAAATAGGTACCTATTTTAACAAATTGAACGGAAATTAAAAGGAGTTTTGTAACCATTTTTATATATCGGAGTCACTCGTGTTATTAAGGCATTTAGGAAAGTATCTATTGCAAAGTACTTTACGAGTTATGTGCGAATTTTCAAAATACGGGACCAAATGGGGTTTAGGGCAGTGAATCCCGTCAATATAGGATAGGACGTAGGTATATTCAAGGTGGTAATGCATTGACGATATTAGTTACTAATTACTTAACTGATTTTTGACGTCGACTTATTAAACGAGTTAATTCACAACAAACCCTAGGACAAACTTTTAACACACTTTTTTGTATGTATGCATGCGTACAGGGTGTAAATCGAAAAGTGTTTTTCTTTTATCATAGTCCATGTTTATAATGTTTGTAAATTTTTTGAATTATTCAACACCTCTCTGGTAAAGAATAAAAGTATCTATCTAAAGTATCTATCATGGCTACTTAGACTAAAAACTCGTGAAAACAGATTCTTTATAATTAATTTTTACGCGTACAAAAAGAGGTAGAATAATCGTTTCACATTAATTACTTAGGTGCAGAATTTATATCTCTATAACTTTTATTTGAAGTATTTTTGCGTAAAATAATTAGGAAACGTTTGCGCAAAGAAAAAGTAATTTCCCATGTTAAATGTCACTTTTCCACTTTTCGATTTACACCCTGTACATAATAGTTTATTAGTGATGATATTATCCCGACAAGTATTTTCACACGTCATTGTTTCACAGGCATAAATGGACATTAATTAAAAAACCTATTTTCTTAGACAAATTACAATGAGGTAAAATGACAAAGGACAAAATAAATATACTTACCTACATTTAGACAACAAATATAAACATCTCCACAAATAGACCTAGCAATCTAAGTCATTGAAACTATTGTTGAAAAATTCGTTTAGTGAGTAGAATGCTAGACATTTTAAATATTCCTTTACAATAGGGATTGATAGTAAATCTAAGTTTTCAGTTTTCGTGGGTAATGCATTATAAAACTTCATCCCATAATGTGATACGCCATTCTTTGTTTTATTGAGCCTATGAAAAGTTATGTAAATGTGTTCTTTGATCC